CTTTGGTATGTTTCAGTTTCCATGTTTGTCAGCTCCCTAGATTCGTGTTTTCTCTTATGCTTCAGATGGTGTCTAAGATTTATTTCCATTAGGTACGTTTCCATTTCAATATTCTTCAATGTCTCAATATTCATAATAGCAGATGCCCTTTTTTTCTTCCTTCCTAATTTATTTACCGGTTGAAGTTTGTTGCAGTCTTATTTGTATTGGATAAATATGAGGGATATTTATGTATAATATTCTACTTCGAAGCTACTCAGTCAGTCAAGGTAGCATGTTCTTCATTTCGGTTAAATCTTTTCGTCTGAGCTAAAAAGATAATGTTATGGGCTTTCTCTTTTGCATGTTGTTGGGATATTGATKGTGGCCGTTGGAATTTTTGTCCATCCCTCAAAACATATTTTCTCCAAAATTTTTATTTCGCTCTCTTAAATTTGCCATTCCAGCCTCTTTTCTCCCTTCGAAATTTTGTCCATTTCTTATACCATTGCTTTGAAGAATTTTTCCTCTTACTGAACTTTTTGTTGTGTGATTTTTTGAAAGCAATTTTTGAAAATAAAACTTGTTTACCAGTAGTAGTAAGTTTTATATGATACGTCTTAGCTTTTAACATTGTATTTYAGATGGATGATGGTTGAATCAACGAACCTACCGGTGCTTTGTGTTCGTGGAACAGAGGTTATTTTTTCGAATTTACSATTAGCTTAGTTTTATATGATACGTCTTAGCTTTTAACATTGTATTTCAGATGGATGATGGTTGAAAAAACAAACCTMCTGGWGCTTTGTGTTCGGGGAACAAGATTATTTTGTTCGAGGTCTGTTGCAGTTTGAGGGCTTCTTAGAATTGCAAATAATTGGGAGTCAATTAGGCAAATATGGATCAGTATGCAACTCTTCCCAGTTTGCTGTATTCTTTTATCGTTTTCATTGCCTGCAAACTCAGGTACTAACTCAGTGGTGTGGCACTAACTCAGGTATCGAAGTTAATTTTTGCTCCTTCCTCCAGAGAAAAAAGTTTTATTCTCTGTTCTTTTTGCATTTATATTTTTCTAACTCAGCTTGCGGGGGAATTCTGCACTGCTTTGATGTAGCCAAAGTTTTCATTTATCATTGCAGTATATCGAGTTTAACGAACTGACTGCGGAGGGYTTTCTCCTGAGTTTTCTTACTAATAAAGAAACCCAATAGTTAATGACGATGAAAATCCATAGCAAACTAGCCATTATTTTTTTAAAGCAACACATACTCCTGCGTGTTCATGATTGCCATTTATGTTAATGATTGCCATCTTATTCTATGTATGCATGGAATACCAGTAAGCTCCCTCATTCCTTCCCTATCTCCTCTCTCTTTCTCCTCATCCTCCCTCCCTCTCTTTTTTCCTCCCTTTCTCTCCCCT